TTAGTTTAAGTGAACTATAACAACTTTGGTTCTGTGACGTTTGTTTCCCGCCACCTCTGCCGATCTGTCGGCGATCTCTACGAACCACGTTTGACAAAACAATTGCATGACTGTAACTTCTGAGTGGCTCATCACTTCGTGGTTAACTGTGTCCCTGCAGACGTCTCACAGCTTTTATACCTCGGATTAAACGTTACTGAGGGCTTTTGGCCGGAAACAGGCTTAGAAGTATCATTTTAATTGATCATTTGAACTATACGGCTGCCTTTATGTCACATGTTTTATGCTTTTATCAGCCCCTCCAGTAGTTTGCTGGATTTATTGGTGATTGTTGCAGCCTAAAATACATTCCCCAACTGCCATGATTTCCTATGCATTTGTTGTTTGCAACTAAAAGTCTGCATGGTCTGAATCTTCAACATTAGAAACAATAAAGTGAGTTTGGAAACTCCAGTGAAGTTGCAGTTTTTGGACAAAATGTAAGGCTTTATTTGGGGACTGGTTGAATTTGCTGTAGTTGTTGCGATCGCAGCTTCGTGGAGGGACCGTTTCAGATTCCTTTGTAAAACCAGATGAATATGTATTTGCGTCATCCCTTCAGATCCAGGCCCAGACCGTGACTCTGACCCAGGCCACCGCGTCTGCTCCCGCTCAGGTGCAGATGATCCCCGTGGGGACGGCGACCACCCAGGTGGTCCAGCAGAAGATCAATCCACGCAGCAGGTGTGACCGCGGCCACGTCGCCCAGATCCAGACGCCTCCTCGCCCACAGCCCGCCCACAGCCCGCCGCACCTCCGCAGCCGCCGAGTCCCGGGGAAGCAGAGCGCGTCAGCCCCAGCCAGCCCACCACAGGTCCAGCTCGCAGGGCGGCATCAGGGCCAAAACACCCCAAGCCCAGCGGGGGGAGCAGCTAGGAAGACGCACACTAATGAAACTGACTGGTGGTTTTTGCGCAGTACAGTTCAGTGCTGAAGCGTTCTTATGGATCCCAGAGACTCCTCCCATCAATCTGATGTAACACACAACCCTTCCAGTGCTCAGCTGTTGTGGCAGAATCCTGGCGGGATCCATAATTTAGCTTTACTGAGTCGACGTCGTTCCTTCAACTCTTTATTTGTTGTTTTTGAAATGTGGAATGTTTCTTGAAATTACCACAAACTTTAAAAAATATAAAATAATAAAAAATGATCCCCTTCAACTACTGCCCAACACATCAAACGACAGTCATGCCTTCAAAGTGATGATTATAATATTACTCAACAGAATACGTGAGGCTGAGGCTTGTGGGTAATCCTGCATTGGGAAATGTGCTGTCCATTAGAATAAGTGTATTCATAAATAGTCCCTTTTATGTCTAATTCCCTTTGTTGTCTATAGATACTGAATGGAGAATAATGCACGTTCCTTTAGTCATTTGTTTTTTATTGCAGCAGATACACTGTAAACATGTACTTTAGTATTTTGTGTTTTCTCATAAATTGTCTTTTTTTATTGATGTCAAGAAAAAAAAACTGTAAATATCAATGAAAAACATTTGTACTTGTAAAGTAGTCGTGTTTTCATTGGGTTTTTTCAGCCTAATTGTAATAAAGTGTTTTGTTTTTATACACAAATTCATCTTTTTTCCCTTTTTTTGTCATTAAATCCGTTGTAAGTACTTTGGGAAATCTTGTGAGTTCTTATAAACGCGTTCGCTGGTTCCTTTCCACAATCCTGTTTTTGTTTTTGTTTATCCAGCCTCGTCACTGAGTCCTGGAGGAATCTGGACCTGGACACACAAACACCTGACAGTTGCATTTTAAGCATCTTGCCTTTAGGCGGTCTTGAGGAAGGACTGGAACGCCTCCCTCAGCAGTGTCTGCTCTGCCGGGCCGACACAGGACTCTGGTGAATGTGTCGGCCGAGCAAGTCGAGCTTAGGTAGCTGAGGATTGAGGATTAACCCCCGCAGACGCCCCCACAACACATTAGGAACATTTGTCTTTCGGGTCCTCGCCCTTAACAAACACGCCCTTTAACAGGAAAATTAGAACATCTCTCAAAATGCACTCAGTTTACACAACTTGCTAAACTAAGTGGATCCACAAGGGGGTACTGTTGCACCAGTCTCACCCCTGCTCTCTCTCTGAAGAAGTCTGGATTTTCCAGCTCATTGAAATTTCCCATCTGCTCCTCAGTGCTTACTCTCTCCTCTCCGCTGGCACTCGGTGGCCGGTCCACATTCACCACTAAATGGGTGAGACAAGGGAGGTGAGGTGGAAGAGAGGGCCGAGAGATGAGCAGATGGGCAGAGCTGGTTCCTCTTGGCCCGAATATCCCTGCATCCCTGCGCTCAACCTCTTCTAGTTAAACTGTCCTTAGTAAACAGGTCAGTGGACTTTACAGCCAACACAGTTTTGTTTTCAAATGAAACCAAAATCTGCCATTTTTATATATATGGAGAACAAAACAGGTCGTTTTTTAATTTCCATTATGTTCAAAACAGAAACCAGGATTTTTTAATCTTTAATCTAAAAACTAAAAGAAATAATAAGCTGTTTCCTGACTACATTTATACATATAGTGGACAAAACAGATTTATTTTTCATTTTCAAAACAGAAAAAGTCTTTTTTTTTTTTTGTTTTCTGTTTATCTGTTTTCAGTTTTTTATTGTTTTGAAAATAAAAAACAAAAAGGAAAACGGGCATTTCGCAATCTGCAATGTACACTGAGCATCATAGCACAAAGACAGCACTGGTTAAGTTCACCAATAAAAAAAAAAAAATTCTTTCTAATTGCTTTAATTTCAGTTTTTAATTAAATTTAATCAATTTAATTTTCAAAACGAGAAAACACATCAGTCGTTTCCCAATTACGGTTTTCTCAATTCGAAAATCCGTTGGCCACAAAGGTCGCCGACCTAACCAGGAGTTATGGATGGAGGATTATATTTCTTTATTTACTGCGAAACGAGACGAGCTGTAATGATTCTGTACGTTGGTTAGAGCCGCGGGGACGACAGCTGCGCTCGAGCACAGGAGCTCTTTGTGGTTTCAGGGTTACAGGAAGCGGATGAATTCACCGCTTCAGTTTCATACAGTCTCACTCCAGCAGTTTTCACACCCTCCTCTATCTGGTCAAATGTTCTGCCTGCGAAACCCGAGAGCGAGTAGAGACACCGAGAGAGAGAATAAGGACGGGCAGATTGTAAACACTTGCTGCAGCACTCCACTTCTCCCACCTTTCTTTCACTCTTCACGCTTTCAGCAGACTTCGCGGCGGCAGCTCCCCTACACACACAGTGAAACAGTTGTTTTGATTTTAAAACCAGAGGAGCATCGAAACCTCTGGATCGCAGGAACTGGACGTTAATGGCTCGAGTTCACCCCCCCGATGCTATGGCAGCACTGTTGAGTGCAGACTTGTATTTTGATATCTTTAATTTCCATTTGTAAAAGTACACGATTAGGAGGGGTAGCCGGGCGGGGTGAGAGCTGCTCAGGCTGTCAAGAGGTCGGCTTTCATCTTTTTCTTTGTCAGAGGCCAGCCCTTTCCCACCGTGAGTGTTTACCTCCGGGAAGGTGTCTTTAAAGCCTCTGAACGGTGTCGAACGTGTTGGTCGGGGGGGGGGGGAAATAAGGGCCCGCCGATTTCAACGCTTGTGTTTTTATTTCTCCATTTTGCACAGACGCCGTGAACGAGAGCAGAGGAAGGCTACTGTGAATGACAGCCTCTGGAACATGGGCGGGAGGAGTTAGGGGTGGAGTCGTGGGGCGGTGCTGATTCAAGCCTGTACACGACAGCGGAGAGATCAACACGGCGAGGGGGGGCTCTGTTGTTGCCTGAGAGCGGGCAGGGCTGAAGGCAACAAGATGCACGCCGGGGGGGAAGGAAAACAAGCATCCAGGTACAAAGAGCCCGGTGAGGTTTTTTCTCATCGGGGGCAAAAACCCGTCTATCACTCTCTCTAATGTCCTCGCCAGCCGCTGATCCACACAGAGGGGTGGTGGTGGGGTGGCGGGGGGCTCCGCTGCTAATGATGCTGAGATCACCGCTATTTGGGATAGCACAAAAACAAACACAGGCACCCCCTCTAGACTCGAACACGGCTTCTCATAGCATGGCACCACGGCGGACCCCCCCACCCCTCCGTCTTTTTTTTTTTTTCACTGGCAAATCACAGGACTGGCTGGTGAATACACTGTCCTATGTAGCCCCGACACACAACACGCACACAACTGCAAAATACCCCCAGCTCTTCAGTTTCCTTTTAACACCTACAATCGACCTCAACTGAGCAGCGTTTGAACTCTGGTTGCAAAGACACACCTCTCTCGGGGGGTTTGGCTTTATGCCCTAGGGCCCCTCCACGTGCCTGGCTCACACGGAAGGCTGTGCTCCCGTACAGAGCAGGAAAGCGGATTACAAAAATATACAACCCCCACCCACTCCCGAAATATGATGAGGAACATCCCCCTACGCAACCACCAGCCCCACCCACTCACCACCCCCCACCGCCCGGCCACCATCCCACACCTGCCCCACACCTTACATACCACGCAACACCCTTCCGCACAGCCTAAACCCTGCCCTCGACCGCTCCAGAAAGCGAGCTCCGGCAAACCTCCAGTTCGCCGGCCACCCCCGCATCCGGCGCACTGTCCGCCATACCCCACCCCCGCGCCCGCCCCTCATACTGGGCGCCTGGACCAATCCAACCCGATAACCCCCTCACACCAACACCGCTCGCTCCGCTTCGCTCTGCGCGTCGCCGCCGAGGTTGAACCTGCACAGGTCACCCTCTGCCAGACGTTTATCCCACCGCACATGATCCCTGTCAGCTTACCTGACGCCCACCCTTCAACTGCGCGCTGCGTCTCTGCCTCGCGCCTTCACATATATGCAACTCCCAAACGAACGACACCGCCGGCTGTGACACCCCTACCCCTTCCTGTCACAGGAGCACACACACTCCACACCCCCAGCACAACAACCTCTAACGCCCTCGGTTCGCGCTCTTAAATAAACTGACCCCCCGCGCTACACCCCTACCACCCAGCTCTACCATTCGCTGGAATCACCCGCCCCCGCCGGCCCAACACACACTCAGCCTCAAATCGTTCCGTCGCCAGAACACCTCCTTCACCCGCGCTCAGCCCGCCGAAATATGCCCTCCCCAGTCACAACCGGCCCGACCTTGCCCCCTCAACGATCCTCCCGGCGCAGTGGTCCCCCCCCCGTCGCCTCTAACGCTCTCCAAGCCGCGGCTGACGCACTCCACCTGAAGCGCGAGACTCACACGACGGGCCTCACCTCCTCTCCTAGAACCCTCGACTCGCACCGCCCTTCCCACCCGAGGCTCTGCTCTGATCCTAAACGCGAACTTGCAGGGGGATGATCCGGTTGTGAAGGGGTGCCGGCGAGGAGGGTGTCTCAGCGGTATACGGAGCCAGAGAGGTGGCGTATGTGCAAGTGGATAGGGCATATGCCTAATGCAAGATGGGGTGAGAGGCAGCGCGGAGCTGACACGCTCACTTCCCTCGACATAGTGATAGGAAGTGTCCCATCTCGGCACTTTGAAACGTACCATGAGATCTACAGTGTAAGTCTGCCACTCTCTGCTCCACCTCCCACTCAATTCTGAATCCTCTGAATCTCCCTCCTTCCTCACCCCCCCTCATCTCTCTCTCTCCTCTCTCTCTCTCTCTCGTCTTTCTCTTTCCCCGCTCGCCTCGTCCTCTTACCTTTCTGTCATCCTCCTTCTCGCTCGGCTGCTCCCATCTCCACCAAACGTCTTGTGGTATGACAGTCATGTAAGCGAGTGTGGCTGTGAACCTCAAGATGGGGGGTGACGGGACTCATGCTCTCTCTCTCGTCTTTGGCCGATAACCTTGGCTGGTAAACCTCGTCTAGGGGGGAGGCTGGGGAAGGCGAGGGCTTCTGGGGCTCCGGCCCCGAAATGTTTCATAGGTTAAACCTTACAAAATAATACTTAAGTCAATATTTTGTGATGCTAAGTCAGTATTTTGATAAGTTTTTCATTATAATGACTTACAGAATCTTTTGCGTCCCTAAGCCCCGAATGTTTACAGCGTCTGGCTCCGCCCTCACTTGGTCTCCTCTTCCTGTCCTGTCTAAGCTTCAGAGATGTTTAGATGCTCTTTACTGAGGTTTGGGAAGAAAGCCAAGTCTCCCAACCTGAACTCCTCAGTTATAGTTTCCCCTTTCCAGGTGCATGCCAAATTCAGTCATCCACTGTAATTAAATGTATCCACTATCCTCGCTTGGAGCATGAATCATAATCTCCTCTTCAGTACTCGTGATGTGTTACAGTCTGAGGCTGTCAGTTCTTGTGATGTAGTGTTAGAGTTTTATGAATAATGACCCAAATGTGGCAAACAGCCACTAATACTGAGAGTTTTTCCATGACACTACATGCATATCAAAGGAATAAGTATGAACTAGTTTATTAAGGATCTATCATTATGAGTACATCACAGCACAGAGACGGCGCAGGTGAAAGTCACAAAATACCTTTCTAATGGCATCAGACCAAGAACATGTCTCTATACTTATCTTGTTGGATATAAGCGGTGCATTCAACACCATCACATCCTATTACGGAGACTTGAAC